TGGATGGGGCTTGGAGCAACCTTGGATAGTAGAAGGTATCCCTGGGGGGGAATAAGATGAGCTTTAAGATCTCTTCCTGCCCAACCACTGCATGATTCCATGATTCTCCTCCCCAGGGAGCAGGTGCTGTGGGAGAGCCTGGCACAGCCAGGGTGGGCTGTGGCCTCTTGGCTGCACAGGGAGAGCAGCTCCAGCCCCAGGAGTTTGCAGAGAGCAGCAGCACTGGGGGGGTCAGTTCTGCCCCAGGGAGCCAAGGGCCACAGCTCAGGCTTGGCAGCATCCCCTGGGATTGTGAGGGCAGAGAGATGGCACAGAGGGTGCCAACCTCATGGCTGGGGAACAGGCTGCAGGTTTTCCTGATTGTCCCAGCAGCTCGTGGCTTGCTTGGAAGCCTCTTGCCTTCCTCAGCTCCACCTTGATCCCTGATTTTCTCCCTCGGAGTGGCTGCCTGAGGGGTGCAGCTGGGTCAGGCACAGGCTCCCAGGTTTGCTGTTACAGGAGAGGGGAATGATTGCAATGGCCCTGCTCTGTGTTTCTGGCTCCTGCAATTTCTGTGGACGTTTCCACAACAGACCGACACAGATTGAATCAGTCCTTGTTCAAGATGCTTATTAAAAGGAAAAATAAAACACAGACAAGATGTGAGAGGCAGGTTTGGGGTGAGTGACTTGGGTGGGTGGGAGGAGGTTGGGGCTTTGTTTGCTTGTCTTTGCATTAGAAATAAACTTTTGCTAAAAAAAAGAAGAGGCTCAGGTAGTTTATTTTATACCAGCAGGTTAAAACCCCCCCCACAATTCAGTGACACATTCCTCCTGAACCACAGCAAATCCTAAATGTTACTCTGGAAGCAGCCTGGAAAAGACTTTGTTTCCTTCCTTGGAGGGATCATTTGTCTTCTTTTGAAGTGCAGAGGTTGCAGGCATGAACTTATAGACTAAAGTTTGTCTTAATTGCTCTGATGTCACAACCTTGCTGGCAGATAACAGTGCAGTGAATGAGTCCACAGCCCCCATCCCTCCAGGTCCTTTTTCTAAAGTGAGACAAATCTCCTCCCTGTGAGCCAACCAGAGGATGGGCAGCTCTCCCATTTATTTATCCCTAACAGTTTGCATTAGCTCTCCCTGGATAAAAAGTCTCTCTTGAGTTTAGTTTAAAAGTCAGCAAACCCAAGGCTTTTCCTCTCCCTTTCCCTGGCAGGGAGGGGACAGTGTCACCCTGAGGATCCCTGTGGGATTCCAGCTGATGGAGATGGGGAAGATTCACATGTATGAACCTTGCTGGTTCATCAGGGTAATCAATCCAGCAGTCAGGGGGAGGTTTGGGGCCTCCAGCATCTTTCCTCTCCCAAGTCCTTGGATTTGGTGCAGACTGGAAGGGGATGAGCAGCTGGGGGGCTGCTCAGTGGCATCACTTCTGCCCCACTCCCAGCACTGCTTCTGGGGGGGATTAGGGCTGGATGAGAGTGGAACAGGCAGACTGGGGAAAACCCAGCCCCCACCCATCAATACCAGGGGGCAAAAGTGAGGGGAAGGGGGGGAGGCAATAAATTGGGCCAGGATTTAACTCCACTGGGTGCCCCCACCCACAGCTCCTCTCCCTGCAGCAAACACATCCCAACCCGTGTCTGTGCCAGGTGGGAGCTGGGTGAGCCTGGCATGGGGCCCCTCCACACGGTGCAGGGTCCCCCCAAAACTGAAAGGATCCCTTGGGATGCATTTGGGCTGAGGAAATCCTGCCTTGGTGCACGTATAGCTTTGAGATGGCCAAGAAACGTGAAACATGGCCCAGGCTCTGCCTTATGTGTAACGTCCTCCTGCCCCCAAAACCCTCTCCAGGGATGGGAATGAACCACCAGGGAGATTTTCCCAGCTGCCAGGCAGGGCTGGAAGCAGTGAGTGCTGTGAAGGGCTCAGCAGTGCTGCTCCCCACACAGGCAGGAGCTGTGCCAGAGCTGGGGCTACCTGGGATCTTCTCCCTCTCTCCTTCCTGCTGCAACTTTTTGGAGTCTGAATTGGGGCTTTTCTTGGCTGAAAAGCTTGCAGGAAGTGCAGTGTTATACTCTAAACTGAGTCCTGCTCAGAAGATGGCAGAGGTGGTGCATAATGAACATACTAATTTGATAGTGGATCCTCCCCCAATCCCTCCCAGTCCCACTCCTCATCCCACCAGCTCATTGAGGGGCTCCACCAGCAGCCCCACACCAGTCTCACCTCTCTTATAACCTCAGTCATGGTTAGGAATCGACTCCTATGGGAGTGTGTACATGGAGACTCGCTGGGAAAAACTCAGGATGTCCCATCTGTGCCAAAACTTGCAGTGTTTTCCACCTTCCCCTGTCTGTGCTCCTTGCCAGGCAAAGCTCACCCTGGGAGATGAGCCTGTGGTAGTTTGCCCTTAAACCCAGCACTGAATTAAAAACCACTTTGCTCCTTGTATCCCGTGGCCAAACACATCCTGCTGCCAGCATTCCAAAGGCAAAGGGGCGGCCTTGGTTTTCCAAATAACAGCCTGAAAAGCTCTGGGGGAAGAGGGGACTGCAAGGGGTCCTCGACCTGTCCCTCTCCCTTGGCTTAACACCTGTGGAGCAGGGCTGGCCATGTGATAGTGTTAATAACTGAGCAATCACTAGGAACAGCTCTTGGGAGCTTCATTTGATCCTTTGGATACCCGAGAGCAAGCAGGAGGGTTGAATCTGGGAGTCATGCAGGTGTTTTCCTGCAGGGAAGGTTTATCACTGGAGGAGGGATGGAGCACAGGACCCCCCTGTTTCTGATGCAGGCAGTGTGTGGGCAATGTCTGAAGCAAAACCTGGGAATTTGAGGGTTTGCTGGAAAACAAAAAATCCTGCAGGGAGCAAAATCCATGGGAGAAGCCCCTGTCTGGTGTCAGAGGGATTTTGGCTGTGGGTGGGGAGGGGCGATGCCACCGGAGCAGGAACACCCTTCCCTGGTTTGTGGCTCTGACTGTGCTCCCTCTGCCCAGTGCTGCCTCCAGGCAAGACCACCCGGGGGGCATCACGTCCAGCCCCTTGGGACCTGCACCCAGAAACCCCCCAGGGAGCTGCAGCCTTGGCTGGTGAGGGAGAGGAGGGAGGAGGAAGGTCAGGAGTCTGTACAGGTCATGGCTCTGCTCTGGGGGCGCTTCCCAGCTGTTGGTGACTCCTCCCGGGGGGTGCAGGGCACACAGAACCCCCCTCAGCCTCTCTGGGCAGTGAACAGGAGCAGCAAGTCCTTCACCAGGGTGTGAAGCCCCTGTGCTGCTCCAGGGGCTCCCGGGCTGCTCAGCCCCTTGGGGACACCTTAGTGCAGGGACCTTTCCTCCTGCTCCCTTTAGGATGTGGAACTGGCAGAGATAAACATGTAAGAGACTCAACAACACCCGCAGGAGCCCCTCCTTGCCCAGCTGCCGTGGGCTGGGCCACTCAGGGAACGGGTCAAACACATCCCAGGTGCCCCCACTTCTTTGGGAGCTGCAGGAGAACCAGCTATGGCATCTCAGCCTCTCCCAAGGGAGCTCAGGGGACTCTGCAGCCGTGTGAGGGTATTTTTGGGTGACTCCTGCCCCACACAGCCCCATCCCTGCCATGTGCAGAACCAGGTAGGAACCACCCCAACCCCAAATGCTGCAGCTGGGTGGGCACAATGTCCCTGCAGTGGGAGCCAGGCCTGGGGGGCAGAGGGGCTTCAGGGAGGGAGGGGGAGCTGGAGCTCACTGAACAATGGAGAGGTCCCGAGACACAGCAGTTATTTAGGATAACTCATCTTCAGCATTCCCTGGGGGATCCTCCCAGGCTGGGGGGGGGGCTCACGGGCACCGTGGGGCAGAAGTCTGGAGGGATGGGAGGGCTGAACTTGCTGCCTCATCCTGCTCCCCCAGCTCACCAGCACGGCACTGCCTGGACCGGGAAAGCCTAACGGGGAAAAATAAATTACAAATCTCGCTAAGTGTATTATTTGGCCACACTGAATAAAAAGACGGTCGTGCAACCTGCTTTAGAGGAAGGTGTCCCTGCCCACGGAGGTGGGGTTGGAACGAGATGAGCTTTAAGGTCCCTTCCAACGCAAACAATTCCAGGATTCTGTGATCCCGTGCCTTTCCCGTCGGGAAGCTGCAGCAGGAGAGCTGCGGCTGCCGAGGAGCTGCGCTGACCCGGGGCTGTGTTACCTTCAGGAGAGGGTATGTCCATAAACCACACGTGTGCACTAAGGACAGGATTTATGGATTGAGCCTTACTGGCTCCGGCAGCGGCGGCCGCCTCCCGGTCCCCCCCGGCGGCTGCTCCCGCCGCCCGGTCCTGCGGTGGAAGTTCAAGGTTTATCCGAGCCGGGAGCCCGGGAGATGTTTAATGGCAAATGGATGTCTGGGGCTTTTACAGGCGGGAGGAGGAAAACTTCCCTGCAGCCGAGGCAGAGCTGCCAGGCCCCGGCGCAGGTGAGTGCGGGTCCATCCCGGAGGCCTGGCACGGCACAGGGCACAGGGAATTGCTGCCCCGGGCTCCTCCCGCTCCAGCCCCGCGGAGCGCTTGGTTTCACCTGATCAATAAAGTCGTGTCTATCGATCCC